GGTTTTAGGGTATAAATAAATAGCACGTACAATCATTCAATATGTACAACGTATCTAGAATTTCATGGATATCAATCACATGGATACTAATTTCATGTTCATTTTACTTCATTCTCGCTCTTATCCACATGAAAGTGTAAAAATGAAATTTTTAACTAGATTTAGATGTCACAATCCCCACAAAGTTCAAACTATATTGAGTCACGTCATATATTCGATTGGAAACTAGATTAAGTTTGACTACAAAGGAAAATGTAACCAGTATGGTATATAAAACTTAGTATGTGCAATCATTCAACTTGTACATCTTATGTATGATGTTCGAAGCATTTGCTAGTTTTGAAATGAAATCGAGAGCCTGTGACCCAAAATGGCATGTCGTTATTTTAAACGTATTGTATCATTTTTGCTAATTTTATGTTCATTTCACTTCATTCTCGCTCGTATCCACGTGAAACTGTAAGAATGAAAGTTTTAACTAAATTTGGATATCAAGTACCAGATTGACTAGTTTTGGAGTGAAATTGAGACTTGTGACCCAAATTGACATGTTGTCTTTTCAAAAGGCTACGCATCATTTTCAACTAATTTTATGTTCATTTCACTTTATGTTCACTCATATCCACATAAAAATTAATTAATCCCAATTTTCACTATATTTGGACACCACAATCAATACAAAGTTCACATGATAGTATCAACACTACTGTTTCGTGAGTAAACTACACTAGGATTTACTATGAACGAAGGTAAGTAACTCAAATTTTGTTATAATCCAATTATGAGATAAGATATTCAACAAATCAGCTCATTTAACTTGTACAAGTCTTGTAAGATGTTCCAAAATATAATTGACTAGTTTTTGAGTGAAACAGAGACTCTAGAACCCAATGCGGCATAAAGTCTTTTTAAACAGCTATGTACCATTTTAACTAGTTTCACTATCTTGTATTGATGAATTTAGTAAAGTTCGAATCAACTTCGTTACTAATATAAATATACTAAATTGCTTGTCAATGTATCAACATTTAAGTAACAACTTTTGGTTGAGCAAGGCTCCAAATGTAAAATATTTAAATTCAACTCGTTTCACTAAATTCTCTCAATGTAAAGCCACAATGATCAAAATTGACTCTTTTCATTCTAGCACACATTAGCCAAACTTTGCTCACTACAAGAAAGAGACATCAATTTTTCAACATTTTTATACTTTCATTTCTTTCCTCATATCTTGTATGATTCAAGCAATTTTAACGATCATTTGAATCAAAACCATCCTTCAAAATCATGGTTAGATGACTAAAAATTTTCATTTCAGAACGTTGAAAACAAAGATACAACACATAAAATAGGTAGGGAACATCCGCTACATTTTTCTTAAATTTCATTTTAAACCTTGAGGTAGAAATATTCATTCCCAAGTCCCCATTATGCACATTTTAATTTGTTGACATTTCATCTCAATCTTCAAGTTCTCAAAAACGAAATTACATCAAGAAAAGAAAACTATACCTCTAAAACTTAATTTATAAAACAAACTTCTTGATAACAATACAACATGAACCAAATATTAATTTGTACAATATGTGAAACTAATAGTTGAAAACTTATCATGGATGAATCTTAAGCTACATCTAGCATCCACAAAATAATTGAGCCAGCCAATTTTCTACCCATCAAAATTGTTGAACAAACTCTTTCCAAAGTAGTATTACTAGATGGAAGGCAAACATAATTGATTATATTGTGAATCTCCAACAAAAATTGAAGAACCTAGAATGTCATATAGCTTTGGGGACTAGAGAAGACCAAACATAGTCTGAATCCAATTTTAGCTGAAAATTTAACAAAAAAAAATGAAGATTGATGGTTAGCGTCATTGCCTCGCAAAAAAATTAGTTGGCTATAGGAGAAGGCACCACAAACATACATATATAATGTAAAGAACCATACTGCAAATTGTTTTTTACAATGAATAACATCTACTCATCATTCCTAAGTTATTCTTTGAATCATTTTCACTCATTCCTAAGTTCCTTTCTTTTGTAACACCCTATCATAGACCATGAAAAATTAAGAAGCAATTAACAAGTGACTGTAGTTTAAACAAAGCAAATATAATCTGCATACTAAGCTATAAGATCTGGTATAAAAACCAACTCCCAAAAAAAATTAAGAAACTATGCTTCAACAAAATGAAATTCATTTGATACCTTTGGGAAAAATAAGAAATTATAATCAATTTCATGCCAATGAATGGCCAAACAAAACAAAATTCTAGAATGCACTCAATGGTTACAATAAAAAATAAAAAAATCCCATCTTTTCAGTTAGCTTCAAACCAATTAGAGTTAAAACACATCTATAATTATTTGAAATCAATAAATTAAACCCAACAAAAAATAGAAAACGAATGTGAAGCCTCAAACACCAAATAAAACTTCATACACCCAAAATAAATCCAAATTAAAATACTTTATAATTACTGCAACCAAAAATTATGAAAACAACAGGAAACCAAAAAAAAAAATGAAATACAAAGCACATATTAATATACACTTAGAAGCAAAAGAATATTCACCTAGGGATAACTGAAATTTTCTTAGACATAGGGGCACGGTGTGAACGGCCATAGAGGTGGGAATAATGGTAGTAAAAGAGTTGAATTTGAACACATTTAATCAACAAAAATTATAATACAGTGCATTTGCACTAAGGAGTAATTTATTAATTCCTAAATAGAAACCAAATGAAAATAATTAACTACTTACATGCTCAACTCAACCAATTTACCCTTTCATCGTATCCCAAGTGCATAATCTAAAAGAAGTTGTTTAATAAGAACGTGACATTTCAAAATAAAAAGGAAATACGAAACTCTGTAATTTTCACCTAATGTAGCCGAACCAAGCACCCACTAAGCCAAACCATGTGAAATCGAAGGTCCAAAATCCTAAAAGGGATAAATTCTAAACCGCATTCAACCTTCTTTACAATAGCTATTCACTCATTCTTGTAGTAGATATCAACGTTGTGTTTTTTTAAAACCCTCCACAATCTTTGATGGTGATGGCTGTCGGCCTCAGAAAATTCAAAATAGCAAATCGGGCCTATTATCATCCACAAATAGAGAATTGGTATTCCAGAGAGAATAGCAAATCGGGCATATTATTATTACAAAAACGTCTCAAATGAATTTCAGCTAAAAATCAACCAAAATGGCCAATTCGATTTGATTGAAGTGTTTCATGTGAAAATATTCATCTCTACTATTTGTAAAAAAAATGTTACACGTGTAAAAGTAAAGGACCATTTCTATGCCAAAGCATTTTACTTAGGACGTGTTTGATTTAGATTTCTTGAGTTTAAAATTAGTAAAAAGTCATATTTTTCAAGAAAATTATTTAATTTTAGAGTTATGTCAAACATGACTTAACAATCTCTCTCTCGATCGTCCAACTTTCTCCCAACATTTAATGATTTCTCTGTGCACGGAACTGGGATCCACTGATCCCTACACAGTTCATGCACCCTAACCCGATTCATACTACTCCCGTTAATGCACACGCGGCAAGAACTCCATTTGACTGTACATTTGGCCGAAGAGGTTGTACGTCGCATATACATGCACTACACACACACACAGATGTACGTATGTAAGAGCCATAAATGCTGGTGGAAAAATTGGAAAATGATAGAATTACAATAATTTCTGCAAGTAGTTTAGAGTATGAAATTGAAGTAAAAGATAAATTTCTTACCCGTAAAGAGGGAGAAAGTGCGGCATTAATGCAAAGTTCAACTAACTTTGGACATAGTTGAAATAATCACACTATTATATTGCAAACATACCTAAGAAGAAGGATGAAAGAGATGATGAATTTGAATGTGATAGGAAGGAGGCGAGATTTTAATTTGGGAATGGATAGGTACTTTGAATTTTGTTGTTTGTTTTGCCTTAAGGGTAATTTAGACAGTTTGTATTTCTAATATTAAAATTTTTATTTTTATTTTAATATTTTGGTCAAAAGCTATTTTTCCAAACAAACATTGTAAATAGGCTATTCTACCCAATTTCCAGTAAAAGATACTTCTTCGACCCACTGCCTATCCCCAAGCCTCACCCACCTCTCCCAATCATGTCCCCAAAACCTATGCCACTACACCACCACCACGTCCCACCACTATCAACATCACTATTAACACCTCCATCAACACAATGTTGTATCTCTTTTTCTTTGATAGATAGGCTCGACTTAACATGCCAAAATATGTAGGTCGTGATGAGACTCTAAAAAGGGCAATTTAGTGTACCAGGAAAGGAGGAGTCGAAGAATGTTAAGTTGACAATGTTATTGAGTTATGGTTCGCATTTTTAAAATTGCTTAATAAATTTTATTAAGGGTTATTCCCCTTACACAAGGGGCTTATAGGTGCTGCATCGACAACGCCTGTATGATTGCATCCTTCATCCCCTTGGTAAAAACCCTGTACAGCTTTTCCCAGTACACAAAGCACAACTCTTTATTAATTTCTTCATTTTAACCAATATCATACTTGCTTCTTGTCTTGTCTTCTACTTATCCTTGAAAGGAGATGGATGGGCTTCGTGTAGTCCTAACTCATAACAAAGCTTCAATTACTAGTATATGCCAAAAACTAACAGGTTTTAAGAAATCACTTGTTCCTGCTTTTTACTCGGAATACGTTAGACTAAGCTTAAATGTTTACTTATAATTAAACAAAATATATTGAAATAGCTATTTGTTTTTACCATGTTATTTGGCCTGATTCTGAGATCATTTCAGTGAGAATGTTTGTGCTTAAGAAATGTTACAATATATACACCACCAAAGCAGACTACTTTCCAAGCAATCTTAAAATTCTATCACGTCATTGAAATATCACAGCATGATTATTGTACAGAAGATTTCTAACTTCAGTCGGAATTTATAGTGCTGGCAAACTGAGCATAACTCCAAAGAAAAATGCTGGAAAAACCGGCTGCCTACATAAATTAAAACTACAGAAGATAATTTCCCACAAGTGCATAAATCTTCAATCCTGAAAACGAACTTCATATGTTGCTCGTTGAAGTAAGACGGGGAGCTGGTCCCAAGGCTGCATTGATCCTACTGAACACTACGTTTAAGGGAACACAAGCTACAGCCGGGCCACGAAGTTTTTCAACCACCAGTTTCTTCTCTACTTCACTTCGTTTTTGGGAACCAGTTAGCGAAGACAACATCCTAATCTTCTTCGACAAGAATCCATTCTTCCTTGTTTTTTGCATTTTTGGTGAATTGCGCGAATGCTTGGACATCCTCCCACCTGAACTTGATCTTATTGTACCCTGATCACCGTCACCATCTAACTCTGAACTGCTGCTATAGCACTCAGATCCACTAATCAGATTATCACAAAAGCCATCATCTAAAACCTCAGTTGCAAGTGGATGGCCGATGATGGGTCGACCATTTAACTTGCTCATGAGAGAGATATATGGGACATGCTGAGGACGATAGCTAGCATTAACCTCCAAAGTAACATCATACAAGACAGAACCCACATTGTGGTGTCTAAGAGAAAAATCTGATGAGTCGTACTTCGGGTTAACTGTAAAACGAGAGTGTCGATATGGTAGTACCCTCTGAGGAACCGGCAGATCAGGTGCTGTGTGAGGAATATTCCTGCTCCAACCAGGGAACTCATCAACCTGGATTTCCGCAATCGGTCTCGATTTTAAACGATAACCACAGACGTCAGATGGGAGGGACCCACTAACACAGTTAAAATCAACATTCCGACCAACTACACATGTCGAAGATCCATCATTCACGTCCACTTTTCTTGACCTAGCATTCCTCTTCCCTTTCAACTGCCACTCCGAAGTACCTTGATCCATCCTCTGGCTTATGTTATAAATATCAGCAGTACCTGAAGAGGTAGAGGCAGACTCGTTAAGCTCTTCGTTCCCAAGAGATAAAGTTTCGACGAGACTACTTTGGCTAGATTGTGCTCCAGCGCCGATTTGTGCCTTCTGAGATACACAGGAAATGCTCGAGGATAAGCCTGTTGAAAGAAAAATACATATTAGCATGGAAATCTTAAGCCAAGTGATAACATAATAACAAGAAGAAATCAATTTATGCAGACCGGGACAATGAAGCAACTCTAGAAGAAGAATGTCAAAATCTTTCTCCATTAGTAGACAATTCACATGAGAAAAAGAAAACAAACATTTATAATAATATTCAGTGTGCAACAAAGAATGAAGTGTAAAAAACAGTAGGAAATTACAAAATGGTAACACACAAAAAACACGAATACATAATGGAATCATATTATATATCTATGCCTACTTTTTAGGTAGACGGTGGTAAAACTACAAATTAATTCCCTTCAAACACTATGTAACTTACATTAGAAAGGGCAATTTACATGATAGTAGAGACATTAGCATCATTGTGTATGGATAAAACTCTTATGTATAGACAAGAGGAACAAGAAAAACAAACACTAAATACCCCAATTTGTTGAAAACTAAAATTATCTAATGGAATTTTTTTTTTATATAAATTTTGTAAATATATTATCATCGGTAACTGCAGCTAGGATTCCAGGATGTGAACTCGAACAACTAAAACATTCCTCACTGTTTAATTGTAGTGTCATAATGTATATATATAATACATATTCAGATAGATATGCACTGCAGAATTAACAGTATAAACACGTAATGAAATTAACAGTTAAAACAATAGCACCCAACTGATACCTGCAGAGTGCTTTTCTTCCACAAGGGGCACATCAAACAGTGTTTCAAATAAATCACCATTAGGCAACCCCAGCTCGCTGGAAATTTCATTCTCCTTCTGTTTGGATTTAACCATTGAACTATCGCTAGCATGCCCGGATGGATTAGTTGACTCATTCTCACAAGAAACTCCAGTGGTATCTGAGTTATTATTAATTGCCATTGAATTATTTTTCTTTGATCCATTTGATTCTAATTCAGAAACCTTACTGTCTGATGCTCCTGGGAGAGAAGATCCGGTTGGACTGATAAGTTGTTCAGACACGACAGGAACAGACACCATTGTTGTATTCTCCAAAACCTTCGACAAAGTACGGCGACGATTTTTCCGTTTCAAGAACTCGTGAACATGGCATGTCTGCGATCGCTTCCGTTTCAATGATGACACGACCCCCATTCCCAAATCCTCAAGTCCTCTCATTCGCTTTATTCCTTCAGTTCCATCATCCTCCGAATCATTTGGGGTTCTTCGTCGCCTAGATTGATCCTTAGTTGGATCTAAATGGCTCAAGTTCTCAAACGATACCCCAGACTGAGATAATTCCTGTGCAGAATCTGAATCATCTTCAGAACAACTTAAATCTTCATCAATACAGTCTGTTTCTTTGCTAGGATTAAATGAAGTAGGTGATTGATCAACAACACGATCCTCCCCACCTTGCTTATCCCTTCCATACATGAATTCCGGGTGGTCTTTTCTTTCAAGCTCAAGCGCATGAAGAATAGCATCTTCTCTCCGAGCATATTTCACTGCCTTCTTGGAGGAGTTAGATGCTGTAGCTTTAGCTTTTTCAATGCATTCATCATACTCACCACATCGAAAAGCTTTCACTCGTTTTGATTTCTCAAGATTATACCAGTCCCTGAAAGCAGATTGGCAAGAATTTTCCAATCTTTTATTATCAGTAAAAAGCAATGAAATGAATTCAACATATTGTAAGAAGGATAAATCAATAATTTTAAAAATAAAGAAAGAGGTCAACATTTGGAAAAGAAACCAGCCCCTCAGATTCAATCCCCAAAGATACAAAAATTATAAGGGAAAATAAACTAATAATGCATCTGGGAACACCAATTAAAAATAAACAAAAATAATGGTAATTACTGACTCCCAGTGAAAATATTTTAGGCTATAGTTATGCAATATAACATATTAACTTGTCATGGAAAGGCCAATGTCTCACGTCAAACTTTCAAGCAAATAGATACTGCAATACAGCAAAGAATACTGCCATTAAACTGAACTTCACGAGCATTTATGCAATCTATTTCTCAGAAGAAATATTAAAATATGGTACAGACATAATCCTCTTTTCAGCCTATGATGAGTAGAGTTGGACGCTACGTCATATTTCTAGTGGAGACGATATAATCCTAAGCAATAATACAACTAAGCATCCAAACTGCTTTAACAACTTAATTAGTTGTTGAAAAAGCCATCATGGACAATTCCAAAACATAAATAAAAACTTCATCATGAATAAGAGTTTGTTGAGGCTAAGCTTTAAGAGTAAGTTTACTTACAAGTAAATAAGTTTCAAAATAACAATTATTTGATTCCTTAAAGTGCTAACAAGTAAGTTGCTTAGTTTCACAACAAGGAAAGTGTTATTTTTAGATAAGTAGCACTTTATACTTAAAATTAAGAAAACAATAAGATATCCAAACCAAAACAAACTTTATTTTTTTCTTAAACGTAGCCACACATGCTTTGCTGAATAACTCCATCAAGATTTCAGCTTTGTGCAACACCAAGAGGGTTATGCAGAAAATTATTAATGATTCTAGCTTTCAAGGTACAAAATGGTTATAGAAAACTCAGAGAAAATTCTAACCAATATTCACAACCGTCTACAAAGATTTTGGATTTGTTCCTAATGATCAAAATATATCTGGTCTTGTTTCCACTTTTCCAGTCAAACTCGATACTATTTTCACTTGAAACACTCCTTCCCCCGGGAAAACCAACCCCAAAAAAAAAAAAAAACAAAATAAAAGGAATTTGTGAAAGAATTTCTTAAAACCATAAAAACAATTTTCTTCACAACAGTCACTGCTACTATAAAATCAATGAAAATTCAAGGTTAAAATAAAATAAAAACAAACAAACAAACAAAGAGAGCCACTTACACACTTGCATCTTCTCTTCCAAGGAGTTTTACAGGGGTCCCTGATCTCGGCGAAAGCAGGGAGCTCTCCGGTAACTCATCGGGGCTAAGAATCCGGCCGGGCCACCAAGACCCATTTCGCCTCCGAACCCAAACCAGCCCACCCACCGACGCATCAATGCCCTTGTTAATGGGCTCTCCATTACTCCCCATCTCATACAGAACTACGGGATTTTTGTTTTTATTTTCTTAAAGGGAAAATAAACCCTTCTCAAAACCAAGAAATGCAACTAAAAATAGCATAACATTATAGAAGAAAATTCGAAAAATTTTTGAATCATAAGCATACACAAAACTCATAGGTACAAAAATATAAAAAGCAAGAAACTTGGGGGACAAAATAGATTCAGAAACCCAAAACCAAGAGAAATCAGAAACTAGGATAGAAGGGTCGAAAAATAGATCTGGTAAAAGAAAATCTGGAAGTGCAGTTTTTTGTCAGTTTTTTTCCCTAAATTTCCCAGAAAAAATTAAAACCCCTCTTTATTTTGATTAATGTTTTCTGCTTCATTATTTTAAGCAAAAGCAAGATTTATTTTTACTAAAACATCGGCTTCTGATGTGTGCGATAGAGACAAATCTGTGTATTCTGTTGACGATGGAAAACGGAGTAGAGAGAGGCGCTGTAGTCTAGAAACTGGGATCAAACTTTTTGGTATCTTTATGCCATCACGAGAAAATCTTGAGTTAAATGTAAATTAGTCACTGAACTTATCACGCTTTACAACTTAAATTTTAAAATACTTTTGAGTGAAAAAACGTCGGACTTCACGACTCACTCATCATATTTCACAAATTACGGAACTTTAAAATATTTTTTGAGGGATTTAAACTTTAAAACATTACTCTACGCACTTGTTCTATTTCTTTAGTCACTGAACTTATATCTCAATTACGCTTCACTCATTAAATTTAGGATCCATTTGATTGCAAAAATAAAAATAAATTAAATTGAAAACGAATTTTAGAGAATTGAATTATCTAAAAATTATTTTCTTGGGAATTGTAAATTATCGTGTTTGATTGGTATAATTTTTCACGTGAAAAATGTTGAAATAAAAGTATTTTTTGTTATTCATTTGACTTTATTTTACATGAAAATTATCAATTAAAGGATAAAATTTACTAGTATTGG